CCCGGGGGTACCAGCCTCCCCAAAAGCAGGGGGCAGAAATCCGAGAGCAGGGGTTTTCCGACCCCTCAGGCGGGCGGGGAGAAGGATGGCAGCCATGACGGTGAGACCCAGGCCCTGACCCCCCGCAGGAGGGGGCCCCGAGCCCTCCCGTGCACGAGCAGCCGCAGGAGGACCTGGGCGCTGGGAGGGAGGAGGGGCGCCCGCCCGGGAAGGCGCCAGGGTCTGGGCCGCCGCCAGAGTCGGACGGTGGGCGAGCCGGTGCAGCTCCTGCTGGTGAAGGACAAGAGGAAGAGTCCCAGCACACGCTCAGAGATAGTGAAGCATGTTATGGGAGGCTGAAGGACCTATTCCCCGCAGAGCATCTGCGGTGTGTCTTGGTTTCGAGCTCAAACAGCTTGACCGCAAGCACCACACATCCTCATCAACAGACTACAACCTCCGGAGGAGGAGGATCTGGGAGGAGATGGCCCTAAATTGGGGCTCTTAGTGATGATCTTGAGCTTTATCTACATGAAAGGTAATAGCGCCAGGGAGGTCCAGGTCTGGGAGATGCTGCGTCGGTTGGGGATGCGACCCTCAAAGTATCGCTTCCTCTTTGGATACCCGAAGAGGCTGATTATGGAAGATTTTGTGCAGCAGCCAGACCTGGGTTACAGGCGGGTGCCTCTCACCAATCCACTAGAATATGCATTCTCTTGGGGTCCCCGAAGCAGCCTGGAAATCAGCAAGATCAAAGTCTGGGGGTTTGGGGCCAAGCTCCATAAGGAAGTACCCAACCAGTGGCCAGTCCAGTACCGTGAGGCCCTGGCAGACAAAACCGACAGGGCCAGAGCCGAGGTCAGTATCAGGGCAGGGCCTCGGCTGGCATCCGCCACTGGTAAGGGCTAGTGGAAAGGTGGCCAGCGGGGACCCTGTGTGTACCCAACCTACAGTCTTGAGTCATGATAGTAGGGGTAGGGGGGTAGAAATTGCACAACTTTGGGATTTTGATTTACTATGTTATTACATTTAATGCACTTTTTAAAAATGCTGTTTAAAGTAAAATTGGTCTACTTTTTCCTGTAGGATTTCATTGTACAGTATTACTGGTTTTGTAAAATAGATAGAAAACTCTTGCCCTTTTTTTCTGGGATCTTGAACAGATTGTGCAGTATTGAGGTGCTGTACTTTAATGGTTTAAAGAACTCCACAGTATAATGATTTGGTACTAGGAAAAATAAATTCTGATTGGTGCCTAGCCTCTCAACACTTTTTGTCTATTGTACTAAAAAGAAAAAGAGAGAGAGAGACATGTACTTCTATTTGTTTAGCTATTACAGTATCTAGAGATGCAATAAATTAGAAGTATACCCTGATATGCTTAACAGATGAAACAGTTGTTGCATATCTTGGTTGTTTTTTTGTGTGTGTGATGCACAGTTTTGGGTATTTGGGGATAAGATGCTGAACATCATAAAGGTCCTACTGTTTTCAGAATTGGAGAGTAACTAAACAAGAAACGTCAGCACCGTGACTTGAAGGCTGTGAACTAGCTGAGGTAATTGGGAAGGATTGCTTGAGGTTGCCTTTAGTTAGATTTTTTGGGAAGAGGAAAAGATGGAGCAGGGGAAGGGGAGGAAGGGAACAGAGGAGAAGATGGGGAAGCTGAGGTTTGGGAATGGTATTGAAGATGAATGACATGGAGCCAGCAAGTGGTATAGTGGTTAAAGTGCTGAACTCCCACGTGGTCGACTGCAGCTTGAGTCCCCGGCCTGGCAGCTTGAAACTCACACCAGGTGCGTGTGCATGCCTGCCCAAAAATCCCAAAAGGAGAACAGAGGAGAAGGGATTACAGTGTGGCCAACCCCCCTGGGGGGTGGAATTCCTCACTTATTGTCTCTCTGGAAGGAGCATGTGACCTATAGGGAAAAAAATAATAAACGAGTGATTTAAGATCACAGATGGTCCTCTAGTCCTCGGTCACGTGGAAGAGGACTGGGAAATCCCCTGCACTTCCCTGCTCTTGTTCCCCGGCATTTCGGTCCAGTCCACGTTGATGGCGACTGTCAGCATCTCGGTTGTCCACCTCCCTTCTCTCACCCTCTATTATGTTCCCTCTTCTATCAAAGCCTGCAGAGACAGTGTAGCGGAGCAATTCGTAATACTGTGTAGCATGTACAGAGAGTGCATTTGACATCTACCAAGAAGTTCCGCTTCAAGATCTCTCTTCCCTGGCTTCTCCCACTTCCCATTTGGAGGCGACCTGATCGCTCACATTTTTACTACCCATGAAGAATGGTCTACAAGCAGCTCCGATCCCTAGGGCCACCCTCCCTCTAGGGGTAAATCTTACACGAAGGGTACACTGAATATAATGAGGTCAAAGGAACAATAGATACCCAAACCAGAGGCAGGTGGCAAGGGTTATGAAATCCACAAAAACAAGAGTTGTTCTTATTGCCAGTGTTTCCCTGCTTCCGGTTGTGCCCAGATCAGATTTCTGAAGCTGGCATGGAATACAAGTTACCTTGGAACACAGGAGTAGGGGTCTAGCGGATCAGACTGGGGCCCAAAGCCATCATCTTATGGGCAGAAAAGTTTACTGGTGATTAAAAATATGACTGGTGATTAAGGCGCTGGACACTCCCACATGGGTGACCGTGGTTCAAGTCCTGGATCTGGTGGTTTGCTTTCTCACTTTCCCATTCTCTCTGTGTGTGTGTGTCTCTCCAGTCAAATTATAATAAACGAACGAATAAATAAAATTAAATAATTCCTAAGAAATGTTTAAAAAATATATGACTTCTGCATAGTTTATAATTCATTGAGCAAAATTAGAGTGCCCACTCTGCCAGTGACTTCACTGGGTGTCAGAGTTGCTGAGATGGGCTCTGCTGTCAAGAAGCAGTAACCATGGTCACGTCTCACATTTGCATTTTCTCACTGCCCAAGAGGTCAGCAGCGCGTGCTCCTGGGGTCAGAGGACTTGGTGATTTGCCTGAGGTCACTGGGTTAGTCAGAGCAGGCCTGCAGCTGCATCCACGGCCCCCAACCCTGGGTGTTTCCTCCAGCACGGTACTCTCCTGACCTGGAGAACGTCGTGCGTGATTTTAGTTAGCACTCCAGGGAACAGCTGCGGCCTGTGTAATTATCGCCACTTGCCACTGCAGTGCTTAGGCAGTGAAGCAGAGGAAAGAAGTGCACCCCATTTTACTGGTAACAGAGATGGCTTTGTTCTAGGTCAAATGTAACACCTGGCAAGGGTAGGACTAATGACAGGACTAGCAAGAGTACGTTTATTAAGCGCCTACTGTTAGCCAAAGACGTTTTCTCTCTGCTTTTCAATCACATTGCAAATACCTACTGGTGAATACCTCCGTTTCACAGAAACAGATGATAGTAACACTTGCCATTATTCCATACCCAGGATGAACCATTTTCTTAGGCTTTACATGTTCTAAAGATTTTTCAAGTTTTTATATGTCATGAGAAGGAGAGACAGGCACCCCCACAGGGTCCTCACACCATGGTCCACCCTAAGCCAGACCAGACCACAGGCCTAGCCTATACAGGGAGACCTTGGGATGCACACCAGGGACCTGCCCCTGTGGCTTCAGCATCACAGCACACCGTCACTGCTGTGCCTCTGCAGCTGCCCTACCTCCGTTATTTTTTTATAATGGTGTTAAAGAATAAATACTGTACGTTCCATTTTTCACCAAGCAAACAGACTCGAAGTTATAATCTCTTAGTCGGCGACAAAACAAGGTTGGAGATGAAGTCTTGACTGAGTCGAAAGCCCTGACTTCTCAGAATTCACATTTCCTTCTTGGGATTCCTTCCAAACCTGAGTCATCTGTCTCCCCATTCATCTTTCTCCAGACACTGCTCTCTCTCGAGATGCAAACAAGGTCTGGGTAGCCAAGGTAATTAGGATCAGACGCTGGTCTGCGGGGGGGGGGGGGGCAAGTGTGAGGCTAAAATAAAGCTGGGGGATTACCTGAGACCACTGTTCCCCGCTCTGCCTGCCCTCTCCCCAGTGTTCTCAGAGTGCCTACTACAGTAGAAAGTGTATTTTTGCTCAAACTTAGCATGTTTGGCCGTCATCAGCCATGTTTCCTCAGCCTGTAGTCTGCCATTTCCACTAAGCCTCAAATTAGTCTTTCATGCCATGGAACAATCAAGTAACATTTGTAGACCTGCAAATAAGATCCCCAGTGCTGTTTCCAGATGGTACAAAGGGCTGGCAGAACTCGTACCCTTGCCTCGGGATGAAAGACCTCCCATGTCACACATGTCATCATCAGCTTCTTAGAAGTATAGAGAGTGGCCTCTGGGCCCATGTGTGGAGCAGACATTGGCCTTGGTGAGGACGAGAGATGAATTCTGCACTCGGCCGCAGTGGCACCAGCCAGAGCCCTGCTGCCCAAGGCCGGGGTCAGCTGAGGGCCAGAGAGAGCGAGGCACACCTGTGATCCCAGCTAACGGAAAGGCTAAGGCAGAGGATGGCTACAGGGTGACAGCCTAGAAAAGAAAAATGTTTCTTTCCCTCTCATTAAGAAAAGAGAGAGATGAAGTCTGTTGCTGAGGTCATCCATGTGAGGGAGAAGGCAGGCCTGGATTCCGTTCCACTGGCAGACGCAAACACGGAATAAGCTCTTCCTGGGTGAAACCGTCGGGGCAGGAGGATTTGGTGTAGAGAGCGATGGCAGATGGGTTGCCCTACACTGTACTTCTCAGAGCACAACTGGGAAGCAACGCCGGTGAAGGAGACGCCCTGGACACTGAGACTGAGGCACGCCGTAGACAATGGGAAGGCCTCAGCTCAGCCGACTTTCCAGGGATCTTCTCATCACCGGAACTTGGAGGAGGGGTGTTTAGAAACAGGCTCAGGTTGATGACAGTCCTTACATCCAGCAACCACACCGTGCTCCGGAGGTGGCAGCTCATTCGCAGGCCTGCAAATCAGGCCTCCTTTCACAGGCTCGATCACAATTTCCACTTGAGGTAATTACACTTAGACTTCGGTCATGGTGGCAACTGCTATTTGTGCAAATCATTCCCCAAATCGTGCAGCCCAGCAGAGAGGGCAACAGCTACCTCCCAGCAGATACACAGTACTAAGGAGGTTCCTTACTAAGAAAAGTGCCCTAATCAAGGCCTTTGAAAAGACCCATGGATGTGACCTTGAACAGACAATGTCAGTCAAGCAAGATCTAGCAGATGATTGGAATAGGGTCGGCCACAATCCACACTCCAGACCCCACCCTACGAGCTGGTTTCAGACGGCCCACTTCCCAACTGGGCATGACCGGTAACTAGCAGCCAGCATTTATTAAGCCTTCTGTGCCAGGCAGGTATGATACCCATAGTGTTGCACACATCTACACAACAGCCTATGAGGCAGGTTTACCAGTTGCCAATATTGATACTGTAAACCACTGGAGCGAATTTCAAATGTTCACGATGTAATGTGAAATATTGAAGGTAGCGAATCTGTTTACATCCTCGATTTGTTTATTGTAGACTGTACACATGCTTTTAAAAACCATTCTGAAACCTAATGATATATATAAATTACAAATTACAATAAATAAGATATAAAAATCTGGGCACAGTGGCGAGCGCTTGTATTCCCAGCTACTTGGATGCTGAGGCAGGAGGATCACAGGTTTGAGGCCACCCTGTGCACATAGTGAGAATGAATAAATAAATAAATAAATTCTAGAAGGAAACCACAAAAAAAATAATAATTCCTTCCATTCTTTTAAAAAACTTTTTAAAGATTTAATTTCATTTAGCAGCATCATTCTTCAATTTGACTAGATAGAAAGCACACCACCAGGTTCAGGACTTGAACCAAGGTCGACCCTGTGGAAGTCCAGTGCCTCATCCACCACACCACCTGCTGGCTCCAATTCCTTTCATTCTTTAATGCACAGGTTAAATGACTCGACCAAGCCCATAACATAACTTGTGAGCGGCAGATCTGGAACTTGAACCTAAACCTTCTGGATTCTTGCTAGTATTCCACCGTGCTGGCCCTCAGAGGGCCCTGGGGGAGCAGCCAGCCTCCCTTTGGAAAGCTGGGGCTGAGAGGAAAGGAGGGAAGGCTCTAGCACTGCCCGTTTACGTCATGACCTAGAGCCGCCAGGCCGCTGGTGGAGGCAGTGCTGAGAGGCAAGCTGGCGCTCCTGGTTCTCAGAGGCCTGCTTGGGAAAGGGCTGAGACCTCCCAACCCGCAGCAGTAGCCCGGCGGTCCATGCGGAAGGGAGATCAGTGCCAGGAAACAGCACCCTCAGTCTTGACAGACAAGAGGCTGCTGGGTGTGGAGCACGGGGAGGGGAGAGCCATGCCCAGGCCATAAAGAGGAGGCAGAGATCCGTGCTCCATTCCCACTCTGCCACCTGACAGAGGTGACCTCTGGCGAGTCACCTAACTTCTCTGAGCTTTGCTTTTCTCATCTTTAAAATAGAAATAAAGCCACCTTTGGGACCAGCAGGTGGCGTGGTGGTTAAGGTGCTGGACACTCCCACATGGCCAACCAGGGTTCGAGTCCTGGACCTGGTGGCTTGCTTTCTCACTTACTCTCTCTCTCACTCTCACCCTCTGTCTCTCTCTGGTCAAATTAAAAATCAATGAATGAATGAATAAATAATAAAATAAATAGTTATTAAAAAAAAAAAAAGAAAAAAAGAAAGCCACTTTCTCCAAAACACAGTGAAGACTGA